CATCCATGTACTAAAGTGATCAACGCCTTTATTCAGCTGCCCTCTCTCCTTTCTCATACATGTGTAAACCTATGTGCATACTCGTGTCTTTGCTTGCATTCATCACTTTGGACCCTTAGGGCCTATAAAGCTGTTGGTTTGACCTACGTTTTACATGTCTTTTGCAGGTTGGCCAAATTTAGATGGGATAGTTTGTGGCTACCAGTAGGGCCCCTTAGGTAAGCCTGTTTTTTACTGTTTCCACATTCTTAATTATGCCTTCTGCTGAAAAACTATCATCGAACTTTGAAATTGCAGTGGAGCTGGAATCTGCATTTACGTAGACCATTTACTAAATGTGTCATCTGAAGAAATACGGAAACTTAGAAGATATATGTATGCATATAAAGCCAGGTAAGAGTTTAGAGGATGTATTTATGGGCCCTTAAAGCCAGTTAAGAGTGTCGCCCTAATCGATTTATAGCACTCAACTAGTTCCATTATAGATTTTCCCTCTTTTTTTGTCTGGTGTACGATGACTATGAGATGTACTGTAAAGTTCCGGAGAGTTTGTCTGATAGGAAGGGGCTTAAATTAATGGCGGAAGCTCTTTTATTCCATCATTCCCATTTCCCTCAATGGGAATTCTCTGTTTTGATATATATATGGCACTGTAAATACTTTGTTCCTGGTACTAATATACTTTCGTTCTGGTGGCAATTTTTGTTCCCCTGCGAATCCTGGCTGTTTGAATATGCTTATGAATTCGTGTAAATGTTTGATTTGATTACGCACATTATTATGCTTGGCTTTTTACTGTTAATTGTCTGTCATTCAGATTAAAGCAACAAAAGCGAATATATTTCCCAAGTTTCACACGCTTACNGCTTTGTTCCTGGTACTAATATACTTTCTTTCTGGTGGGAATTTTTGTTCCCCTGCGAATTCTGGCTGTTTCAATATGCTTATGAATTCGTGTAAATGTTTGATTTGATTACCCACGTTATTATGCTTGGCTTTTTACTGTTAATTGTCTGTGATTCAGATTAAAGCAACAAAAGCGAATATATTTCCCAAGTTTCACATGCTTACCTTTGTGTACAAATTGTTGACGCAACAAGAGATTAGAGAGGATTGTCCAGCAGTTAGTTTGTACTCTATACACCAAGCGTTCATTTGGTTGATGATATAGGAATAAGAATCCAACACCAATAAACTCAGTGTAATCTCACAAACGGGGTCTAAGGAGGGTAGTGTATGCGCAGACTTTACCCCTACCTTGTGAATACAGAGAGGTTGGGGAGGGTACTGTATACATAAACTTTACCCCTACCCATAAAGATAGAGAAAATATTTCTGTTAGACCCTCGCTCAACGAAAGCACGAATAATAAATCCTACCATAGAACTCTGCATAAACTAAAACATTGTTTGGTGAATAAGAAAAAATTATCGTTGTAGAACTAATCAGAGGTGGAGCTAAGATTTGAATCTTATGGGTTCGGGAGTATAATGGTTTTAAGTTATTGGGTTCTAAATTAATAATTTGTACATATTCATTAGATTTCTTAATACAAATGCAAGGTTTGAACAAAAATTACTGGATTTGACGAACGTCAAGGTCAATTTTCTTAACATATCAGAATCAGACTCATTCTTATTCTTATTCTTGATTTATTTTATATTGGTCTCTGGTGTTATATTTATCCACCTTCCAAATGTTTAAGCATGGACTGGGG